CGATTAACCTGTTGCAAACATATGGAAGGAGTCTGTTCTAGACTCCAGTTGTGTTCTGCCGAAGCTCAGACTCTGGCACAGGATCGGGGACGTTGGAAGCTCTGTCTGGCGTGTCTGCCTCCGCCACCCGAAAGGAGAAGCAGAAACGGAAGATGATGATTATGAAATGATGATGGAACGATTAGAGACAAAAAGCTTATGGTTATCTAAACTTCATTTCACCGAGATAAGATCGATTCGAACTGGTTCATCCCTTTCCGCATCGCAGCCACTACTAAGACATGTGTAAGATTACTTATCTTTTGCGTGTTATGACGCAGACTGTCTGAAAGTGCTGAATTCAAATTTCAAACTGCATTTTACAATCACCTTGTGTATGTAGTGTGAAGAAAATAACTGGAAATTCAGTTTTCTATAATTGCAGTGTATATTTTTAACCTACTTAGACAACAAGTTTCATAACCTGTCGAATTTTATGTAGATCACTCCTGCCTTAAATCTGTCTGCCTCGGTCTGCGTTTTCGGCATTTCATGTACAACGACGACTTCAGCTCCTTGATATCCCCTTTATACAGGTTCAGATTCAATATTGGCGCTATGCAGTCTATACACTTTCAAAAAATGATGTGTTTTATATCTGTTCACTCGATTTGCACGTCGGACGAATAATTGTCTCCAGCGTCTGAAGGAAGACCGCCTTTGTTTTACACAGTAATGTCCAAATGAGATATTTTAAACTTGTGATCATTCCTACTAATTATTTAGCTTTTTTCTTGCCATAACTTTTTACACCCAGTGCATGAATCATGATCATTTTGACTCGTCGTTGACAAACAACTAGTCGGCGATGACACGTTTTGCTAAGAGTGGGGCAGTTGTGCTTTTCTTCGAACTGCTTCGTCAGAATCAGCATATTTATAGAGGGTATATACAAGGGGTTTACATATTTGATCGAAAAACATTTCTTCGCAGTGTGTTTAGTTTGACTACTTGTACGCACCTCTTCGATGATGCCGTCGCCGTTTAGAATTGAAGGTCGAATTGCCTGTGGAGGTGAACTTCCCTCCACCATTCTTTGACACTTTTACGACCGTTTCATCTTTATGATTCTCTTTTGACTTGTTGCTGATTTATTTAGATTTAGTTACTTTTTACTGATTCAATCAATAAGTGCTCTTCTTTCAATTGTTCATATCAATTATTTATTCAATTACAGAGAGTGAATGTAAACCATCACTTTGCTGACATGTAATTTACATATGGTTGTTCGAGATACCGTCGATTATGTGTTTGCTCCTTGTCACTGTCCAGAGATCACATTTACAATGGTGTGATGGAGATCAGTGTTGCTCAATCGCTAGGACGCCGGTTACATCTCCGTCCGTTACTCGCCATTTGTTGTTCTTTTTGACAGATGAGTACTACTTTGTGAAAATGAATAGTAGACTGCAAGATATGCTTGCCAAATAGCTGCCGTCGACTTTTCTTTTAAATTATAAGGCCTCATGACTGATGGAATGAAAACGGATTACAGCATCGCGCCATAAACTTCAGGAAAAGAAGGTTCCTCAAGTTGGTTCCGTGAGCATCAGAATGTAATAGAGATCACATTCCAACCGTTATAAACCTTTTCTTTTTCTCGATGCCACCATCGACAATGTAGGCTCACTCGCTTAGCAAAGAAAAATGGAAGATAGCGGAACGAGAAACCGTGGTCGGATGGATTCCGA